TGGAGTATTCTGAGCATTCTTGATGTGTGTGACAATGGCACTGCATAAACTACAGCAAGAAACCAAGCAGAGATTCGGAGGCGGGGCATCCTATCCACTGAAGCAGCCTGTGCTAGAATGGTGTAAGAGCAGAGTTCAAGCATCCTTAGCGTGAATCTAAAGTCACACCACGACAAGGCAGTTAGAATACCCCTCCCCTCAGACAACATTGACATTGTCTCTTATTCTTGTCTCTCCTGAGCTCACTCACACTATGCATACTGTTCTGTAGATTCAAACTTGAAGAAGGAACCATTGTGATCATCTCATCTGACATTTGGCATGTCACAGGCAACAGAATCTCACCCACCCACTCCTGTCATAGGCTTTGTCTAGATTGCAGGCTTCTTTCAGAAGAAGCTTTTCTGGAAGAGATCTTTCGGAAAAAATTCCTCTGAAAGAGAGCGTCTACACCGCAAAAGCGCATCGAAAAAGTGAAAGAGAGTGTCCAGACTGAATGGACTATATCCCACATTTCAACTGTGATTACTATCAATGGAGCGGCCACCAGGACACTTACATTTTTTCCTCTTTCCTCTTCTTTCAAAAGAACTCTCTCTTCCTCATCCACACATGCCTTTTTCCAAAAGAGCTCTTGTTGGAAAAACCCCTCTGTTCTTTTGATTTTTTTTAAGAATGTGATTGCAGCATGGACGTAAGTGAAGTTTTTCCAAAAAAACTCTGCAGTGTAGACATACCCATAAATGCCTGACCTCTAGCTGAGTTACTGAAGTCCTCAAAAAATGCTCTAAAGACTTCAAATGACAGAAAATCAACTATTTACACCAGCTCAAAGTAGTAGTGACCCATGCCTCAGTGCCGGAGGAAGGCAAATTAAACCTAGGGTCCCTTCTAATCTGACCTGGGTGAAAATTCCTTCCTGACCTTATACAAAGTGATTAATTAGACTTTGAGGGTAGAGGTGAGACCCAGCAGCCAGACACCTGGAAAGGAATCCTCTTCATAAACTCAGAGCTTCACTGTCTAGTGTCCCATCTCGGGCTACTGGGGAGATATCTGCTACCAGCAGTTGCAGATAGTCCATGTGACATTACAGGCAATCTCATCACACCATCCCCTCTCCATACTTCCCAGATGCAGCTTTGAAACCAGTTAGGCTTTGTGAACCCACTGCTCCCCATAGAAGGCTATTCCAGGACATCACCCTTTGACCGGTGGTTGTGCAGGTGATGTCGCCGAGGTTACGTCCACACTAGCTCGATAGTTCGAGCTAGGTAGGGTAATTAATATTTTAAACGTATCATTTTCACTGAGCAAGTTAGCCATTTTATATTCAAAAGAGTTTTGATGATGTTTGATGATGCAGAAATGATTACGGAGAATGGAGGTAATGAGGGAAGAGAGGGAATTGACATGAACAGCAAAGGTTTCACTTTTCACAGACAGCATGGCAATGTGAAGTTTTTGATTTTTATCTATTTTTGTACAGATCTCTTCGAAAGTTGTCGTTTCCCACTGTTCCTAACCAAGGAGCCAATCCCACTGACTTTAAATAAGTCATAGCGTTTAAGGCCAGAACCAACCATCAGATCATCTAGTCTGATATTTAGTATATCACAGGATTAAAAAAAAAAAAGAAGTCAATCCTCAATGTCAGGATGGCGGTCGGTTTCTACAGGAGTGCCCCAAGGTTCGGTTCTAGGACCAGTTTTGTTTAATATCTTTATTAATGATCTGGATGAGGGGATGGATTGCACCCTCAGCAAGTTTGCAGATGACACTAAGCTGGGGGGAGAGGTAGATAGGCTTAAGGGCAGAGATAGGGTACAGATTGACTTAGACAAATCAGAAGAATCCCAAGCATTGTTACAGGCTGGGACCAACCAGCTAAGTAGTAGTTCTGCAGAAAAGGACCTGGGGGTTATAGTGGATGAGAAGCTGGATATGAGTCAACAGTGTGCCCTTGTAGCCAAGAAGGCTAATGGCATATTAAGTTGCATTCAGAGGAGCATTGCCAGCATATCCAAAGATGTCATTATTCCCCTTTATTCCGCTCTGGTGAGGCCATATCTGGAGTATTGTGTCCATTTCTGGGCCCCCCACTACAAAAAGAATGTGGATGCATTGGAGAGGGTCCAGCGGAGGGAAACCAAAATGATTAGGGGGCTGGAGCATATGACTTATGAGGAGAGGCTGAGGGACTTGGGTCTGTTTAGTCTACAGAAGTGAAGAGTGAGGGGGGATTTGATAGCAGCCTTCAACTTCCTGAAGGGAGGTTCCAAAGATGATGGAGAAAGGCTGTTCTAGTAGTAAAAGATGGCAGAACAAGGAGCAATGGTCTCAAGGTGTGGTGGGGGTTTGTACAGCTAGACTGCAGGGCTGTGTCTACATTGGCACCCTTTTCCGTAAAAGGGATGCTAATGAGACACTTCGGAATTGCAAATGCCACGGGGGATTTAAATATCCCCTGCGGCATTTGCATGAACGTGGCTGCCGCTTTTTTCCGGCTGGGGTTTTTGCCGGAGAAAAGAGCCAGTGTAGACGCGATTTTCCGGAAAATAAGCCCTTTTCCGGAAGATCCCTTATTCCTACTTGAAAGTAGGAATAGCAAAAATTTATAGCAAAAAAAAGTTTATAGCAAAAATTCTTGTCATAAGTACCTAAGTGCATGACCTCACACACATCATTAAATGTAATTCCAATTTTCATGATCTTGACTATATCATACTAGCTATAACATTGTATCATCTGAAAATGTTATTAGTGCACATTCACACCAAGATCATTAATGAAAATGTTAAATAAGACCTGTCCCAAGATAGAGACCTGAGGAACTCCATTAGCCTGACATTTCACTTTTTTTAGTATGACCCTTTGTAGTCTCCCATTCAACTAGTTCCTTATCCACCTTTCAATTTTCATACTAATCCCCATTTTCTTTCATTTAACTCATCATATCCCATGTGGAACTGTATCAAATATCTTATTGACATCCAGATAACTTCGATCTACTGCGCAGCTGCAGGAATGTGGACTCTGCACCCAGAAGTTCCATAGCTATTACATGTCACCCCAAATCGGCATTATGATGCAATCCAACCAATCAATGCTCATTTTTTAGTTCCAGAACCTGTACTCCATCATCTGTAGCTGTTCCATGCACTCAACCAATAACCTTGAATTGGTCACTACATCCCACAGCAATCTGGACTCCAAGAAATCAGCATGTTCCCTGGTGATTCTGTTCTTCCTACTGCACTGCAAATAATGGAGGATTATGCATTCTGTGTTTGCAACTTTTTCCACAGTAGGGCAAAGATGTTCAGGCTAGATGTTTCTAGTACTGATGGCAGATAGCAAGGGGGTTCCTAGGATTTTTTTAAAATTATGTAATAGAACTGACATTATAGGATGGGTACAACTGCATGCTGGAAAGTTGACTGCTTACTCCCAATCACTTCTCATGGTTCATTTCTTCCCCCTCCTCATATCCATCCCTAGGCATTACCAAAAATTCCTAAAAGACAGTGAGCTGGCAGCTTGCACATGGGAATACTTACCATTGTATCTGCTCTGCATCGACACAAGCACTCTTGGGACATGTGTACACTAAGAAACTATTTTTAAATAACTAAATTCAACTTAACTCCAAATTTTACAAAATCAAAATAGCTTGTCTCCACTACAGAGAAGCCTCAAAATTAGTCTGAGGCAGGCACCATTAATGAGGACATACTACCTTGACTTGGAGCCCAGGAACCACTGGCGAGTAATTAGTTTGAATTACCCTGGGGAGTAGTTATTTCAAAATAGTGGCACCAGAGTGTTCACACTACCACTATTTTGAAATAACTATTTTGAAATTAGCATTATTCCTGAGGAAAGCAGGACTGCAGACTTTGAAATAAGCAATAACACAATTTTTGAAATTACAGGCTTGGTAGGGTGGATGGTCCATTTATAAATTCAACAGAAGGGGGTGTTATTTTGAAATAAAGCGCTAGTGTAGACCAGGGCTTGGAGAGTACATAGTGCCAGTTCAAGGAACCAAGTATGCGTGAGCTCAAGTGATAAACTAACTGGGGCTATATGTCACTATAACTTGTGTTGACTGAAGTCTACAATGCAGACATGGCCTTCGATGACTAATCACTAAAGTGTTATGACTCATGATTAAATCACAAGGCTCATGGCATTTGGATGTTTTCTTAAGGACCCCAGATATTGGAATTAAGGAGTTGCAAAAGGGTCTCAGCTTTAATTTTTTTAAAGTTGGTTTCTAGGCCACTTGTTTCTAGAGAAAAGTTTGAAAATGTGAAGCAACTGTGTCCTTAAGCTAGTGCTGTAAGATGCCAAACTGAGTCGCAAAAGGCAAATAAAAAAAATAAAATGCAATATTTTAAAAATCTAATTTAAAATAAATAATCCCAATTCTCAGGCTAATCTGTTGGTGTTTGGAGGCTTGACTCTTGATTTTTGCCTTGGTGCTGACAGTACTGCTGGTATTTGAACCATAATTCAATAGGGGAGCCATTACTTAATGGACACCATGTTGCATCAATAAGAGAAAAGCCTTGGGTGAGCTGAAAAATCAGATCAAAGTACTTCTCATACATGCTGAAAATGTCTTATAACTTGAGAGAATGAGCACAGAATGGTCTGGTAAGAATAACCTCTGCATTCTTACACACGCATGAGGATGATTGCTGGCTACTTCACAATCTCTGTAAATCCACTGAAATAAAATGCTACTATTTAGGGTAGAATTTGGCCTTAATATGGAGCTCTGAGCAATATTCACAAGGGCTACGTCTACACTGGCCCCTAATTCCGGAAAGTCATGCAAAGCAGGTAAGTCAGAATAGGGAAATCCGCGGGGGATTTAAATATCCCCCAAGGGATTTAAATAAACATGTCCGCCGCTTTTTTTCCGGCTTTGGGAAAAGCCGGAAAAAAGCATCTAGACTGGCGCGATCCTCCGGAATAAAGCCCTTTTCCGGAGGATCTCTTATTCCTACTTGAAAGTATCCCTCCTACTTGAAAGTAGGAATAAGAGATCCTCCGGAAAAGGGCTTTATTCCGGAGGATCGCGCCAGTCTAGATGCTTTTTTCCGGCTTTTCCCCAAGCCGGAAAAAAAGTGGCGGACATGTTTATTTAAATCCGCGGGGGATATTTAAATCCCTCGCGGATTTCCCTATTCTGACTTACCTGCTTTGCATGACTTTTCCGGAATTAGGGGCCAGTGTAGATGTAGCCAAGAAGCATAGTATTCACAGGAATTAGGAGGGGGAAAATCCATGTCTTGAAAGGCACCATCAAACTGTTTAAATTAATCATGTTAATGTTAATGTCAAACGCCTATGATTAAATCACTTTCTATTTTTCATTTGTTTATGACTCATTTGCATGCTTAATTTCATTTTTTTTTTTTGGCTGGATGATACTTTTAGTCACTGTTTCTGGACAGACTCTCCATGCCAAAAGCAGTACTGTAAAAATAATTTGGCATTGTTTTGTTTAAAACAGAGCCACATTAATAAATACACAGAAGAGAAGACATGCTATAAAGTGGGTGCACAACTGGTTGGAAAACGATACGCAGAGAGCAATTATCAATGGTTCACAGTCAAGCTGGAAGGGCATATCAAGTGTGCTCTGATAGTGATCTGTCTTGGGTCCAATTGTATGCAATATCTTCAGAAATGATTCAGATAGTGGCATAAAAAGTATGTGTTCAAACTTTCTGGAGGATACCAAGCTGGTAGGGGTTGCAAATGTTTTCAAAGATGGGATTATAATTCAAAATGATCTTGACCAATGTTTCTCAACCTTTTTTTTTATAAAGTACCCTTTTTACAAAATAAATCATAAATAAATACCCCCAATACCTACAGTTTTCAGACACACACAATTTTTTTTCCACCATTGCAACACATTTGTTTATACCACTTAATTGTAGCTGGGCAGGCGATGAAATTTTTGGGAATAAAAAGTACAAAAATAATAAAGTGCTGTACAACTTAAAACAAAAATTCAGTTTTCTCAAAATTTCAGTTGTTTTCATGTATCCCTCCGCCCCCTCTCCTCCCCCGACTTCTCTTGAGTACCTCTAAGGGTACCCGTACCACTGGTTGAGAAACACTGATCCTGATAAACTGGAGAAATGGTCTGAAATAAATAGGATGACATTCAATAAGGATAAATGTAAAGTACTACACTTGAGAAGGAATAATCAATTAGACAAATACAAATGCAAATGACTGTCCAGAAAAACGTACTGCAGAACCTGGGGATTCTAGTGGATCACAAAGTAAATATAAGTCAACAAAATAACAATGTGCCAAAAAAAAGCTCACACTGTTCTGGGATGCAGAACTGTTTGTAAGCAAGATATAAAAAGTATTTTTTTCACTCTATTCAAGGCCTTAACTCGAGTATTATGTCCAGTCTAGGAAACACACCTTCCAACACCCTTTCTGTGTAACAGGATATTCCTGTTTTGCTGTTGCTGGGTTGCTAGAGGAACTCACAAAATATTCTTTCTTGCAGTGTAATTGTACATGGCTCTCTGCAGCAGGTTCACAGATAACAATACACTTCTGTCCAAAAGGGATGAGTCTGTGGCCCTGATCCTGAAAGGAGCGCCACACACATGCAGGCTACGTCTAGACTGGCTCCTTCTCCGGAAGAGGCATGCAAAGCAGGCAAGTCAGAATAGGGAAATCCGCGGGGGATTTAAATATCCCCCGAGGGATTTAAATAAACATTCCTTGCAAGTAGGAATAAGAGATCCTCCGGAAAAGGGCTTTATTCCGGAGGATCGTGCCAGTCTAGACGCTCTTTTCCGGCTTTTCCCCAAGCCGGAAAAAAAGCGGTGGCCATGTTTATTAAAATCCCTTGGGGGATATTTAAATCCCCCGCGGATTTCCCTATTCTGACTTGCCTGCTTTGCATGCCTCTTCTGGAGAAGGGGCCAGTCTAGACGTAGCCCACGAGAAAAACTTGGACAAGTTCGAGAAATGATTAAAAAGATCTAGAACACAGGGCCTAAAAACAGATTGAAAAAACTCGGTTTGCTTAGTTGGGAGAAAAGGGAAGACCAATGGGAAATGGTGGCATGATAACAGTCCTCAAGTCTTAAAAGTTGTTATAAAAAGGAGGGGGATATATTGTCCTTTAGATCCACTGAGGACTGGACAATGCTTCATTTGCAATGAAAGAGGTTCCAGTGCTTGAGCAAATTATTTACATTCATTACTGATGCAAAACCCAGAAGTGCTGGGGCTTAAAATTGTCAAGCCTAGAGGTTTCAAAGCCCAGTGCTGTCAAGTCCTGGACTGAATTAAGCACTTGGTTAGACAAACAACTGTCAGGGATGGTCTAGATAATGCTTAGGTTTGCTTTAGTGCAGGGGCCTAGACAAGGGGCATGACTACATTAGGAAATAATATTGAAATAATTAAAATAGAAATAACTCCCGAAATAACAAAATTAAAATAACGCATCCACACTATGGGGGAGCATCAAAATAGCTCAGAAGTATTTCAGAACAGTGCGCCTATACTGATTGGAGCCTGCCACAGACGTGGAGCCCCCAGAAGCACTCTGGGGAGTGCAACAGAAGAGCGGATGCTTCCTGTGGCTGCTGGGTCAGGCAAGCTGAGACACATACTTTTAAGGGCTCCTTTCTACAGCCCCATTTCACATCCCTCTGCTCCTCTGCCACCTTCTCATGGGACACCAAACTCATGTGGTGTGCTCTGGTTGCCCTTGCAGATGCCACAGCACCGACAACAGCACTGACAAAGCAGTGCCAGGCTCACAGGCCTCGTGCTGTGCCTCATGGCATAGTTCATCTAGACTGCCCACGTGCCGCTCCAACAGGATGACTACCAGCCTCACCTGTTCACCCAGGTCCTGGTGCTCCTACTGCTACAAATGACCCTCAATCCCCTGCACACAACAGAATGCCACTTCTGGCAGTGGGAGAGAAGTTCCAACTGATGGGACCACATCATCCTGCAGTGATGGG